ATGTCAATAAAGATTTTTGTGCATGACGATTTTTATCAAACAAAAATTTGTTTGAAATTTTGCGTTACGAACAAAATTTCGTTCAAAATGTTGCAATCATCGCCATAAGCTTTTTACAATATTTTGAGAATATGTGTACCAATTTAGCAAAACAAACGGATTTGATTTACAGTTTTCCCGCGATTTTTAAAAGATAAAGTTCGGATACTTTTTGATCACAAGTATGTGTAAACTTAAAAATATATAATATGATATAGCACGATGTACGTTATTGATTAAAGATATATAAATCCACAGGAAAAAAAGTTACCTCTGTAAGTTCTCTATCAATTTTTGAAAACGTTCCGTCGATTAAAACAGTGAAAACATCGTTTCAAAATATCAGGGAAAGGGAAATCAACTTTACAATTCCGAAATTTTGAAGGACTATAATTCCTTTATCTTTTACTTTAGTGTCTCGATATATATATAGAACAATCGATAGTATTCTTTGAGGAGCTCTATCAGAACTCTCAAGAAAATACCGAATTTCCAAAAAGATTTATCGAAAATTTATTTTTGAAAAAATTTTTTAATTTTTCCGGTATTCTGTTGTCAGTTCTGATAGCCCCCCAAAGAATTCGATTATCCTTAATAATCAATGCGTTAAAATCAATAATTAAAATGTTCTGGAGCTTTGAAACTTCGACTTTTGAATTTTTTAAGTCCACACAAGTTAAAAATTTTTTTCAGAAATCCAGTGTTTTGATATGAATTCTGATAGAGAGTCTCCCAAAAAATTCTAACGATTATCCTTAAAGAGATCCTAAAGTGAAGCTCGAACTCCGATGAAGTCATCAGAGATCCCTGTTTTTCCAGCGTATCAACATGTTTTATATACTATCACACCAATATCTCACGTAACCTATGATACACGTAGTCGCACATTTGTGTCAATTTTTACAAATTCGTCGCGATAAAGCGTCTAAGTCTAATTCTAAGAACTCAACATTATTTGTTCGTGCAAGCTACATGTTTATGGATTACTACTTCATACCAAGTATAGGTTGCAAAACTTTCGCATCAATGTTGTCACAACTTGACAACTTGACGTCATATACACTGAGAAATGATAAAAAATATATCAATTTCGAAATTTTTGGTCGTTCTCAGCATAAACTTCATCTCACAAACGCATATTAATGCGTATACTTAAATTCTGAAAAAGGATTTTCGAATCTGCGAAAGAGAAAACGAATATGTTATAAAAAATTATATGATTTCGTCGGTAATACAAATACCATAGCTTTAGGATTCCCTTAATAACCGTGATGTGCTAAAATCAATATATAAATAATTCTAGGACTTTGAAGTTTCAGATTTCGAATTTTTCAAGTCACTAAAACTTTTTTGTTTGCGATCATAGTTCTGCTTACACTAGTCGACACCATTTTGGCATTAAAGTAAATAAAGTTGTTCTTGATGCGCTGATTACGAATCTGTCCCCAAAAATATCACGTCAAGTTTTTGAAATATTCTAATCTAAAGATGTAGAAAATGAAGTTTTTGGCTATTTTTAACTGAGAAAATGTCTAACAATTTCTTTTTCAGCATCCATGCGAATGTCTCATTAAAGTATTATTCTTACCCTTTAAATCATATTGGATTGCTATGATCCAATTTTTTTCGCTGAGATAGAGCAAATTGATTTTTGGTTTTTAATTTTTCAATGCTAGAGAGTATACGTACGTGCAGAGAAAGTACAAGTATTTCTAAATGTCTTACTAAATAGATTAGATTTAAAAAAAAAAACATTCATTTAAAGATTATGCATTGAAAATTTGTTTATAAAAATTTTTAGTGCATAATCTTTAAATAAACGTTTTCACGAAGAAAATAAAATTAAAAATTGATATACAGGCATTAAGAATTTGTATAAACAAATTTTTAATGCATAACCTTTAAATGAATTTTTTCCTCTACTCAACTTCTCCAAGACATTTAGAAATTTTTGTATTTTCTTTGTTGATATATCCTCTCACGTTGAAAAATTAAAAAAATTCAATTTGCTCCATCTCAGCAAAAAAAATCGGATCACAGCGAATTGAATAGGCTTTGCTTTGAAAAGGATAAAACTAACACTTTAATGAGATATTCGCGTGGATGCTAAAAAAGAAATTGTTAAATATTTTATAAGTCGTTAATAGTGGCCAAAAATCTCATTTTTTGCACATTTAGGGTAGAATGTCTCAAAAACTCGACGTGATACATTTTTGGAACCAGATTTGTAATCAGTGCGTCAAAATCTATCAGAAACAATTTCGTTTAGCAAAAAGAAGATTGAATTTTTGCTGACCAGTCTTATTAAGGATAACCACTGGAACTTTTTGAGGGGCTATCAGTAACGGGATTCTCTAAACATCTTATCGATGATTGTCGCTATCATTAACTTACGACAATGGTATACGGAGAATTTTTTTTTAGAATTTACCCCGAAAATATGACAACATTGTATTTCGAAGAATTTTAATGTAAATCTCTCTCATTCATTAATAAAACTATTAAAATAAAGTATAAAATAAGTTAGATCAATTTTACTAAAGTGCATGATAAAAATCTTTAAAATATTGTATATTGTTTAGAGTAAAGAAAGAAAATTTTAAAAGAAAATTTTTCTCATGTAAGACAATCCTGGAAGAAAGGCACTCATTGGCTGTCGCTAGTTAAAAATAGCGACAATTGTTGATAAAATGTTTAGAGAATCTCGCAGATCTAATAAAAAATATCAACAATTAAAAAAAATTTTTTTAAAGTCTTTTCAGAAATCCGGTATTGAGAGTTTGGTAACTCCCTCCAAAGAATTTTATCGATTGTTCTATATAGAGAGACACTAAAGTAAAAAAATTATGAACTTGAATGTTTCGGAATTATGAAGTTGCCTTATCTCCTCCTCCTTCTCTCACCAATAATTCAAATAATGTTTTCACTGCTTTAATCGATGGAATTGATTTTAAACTTGATAAAAAACATTTAGAACTCTTCTTTCCAAATTTAAAAAAATAAGGCCAGCTTCAGAGAGATAAGAAAGTTTCTGTAAGATGATCAACAAAAACATTAATCTAGATTATGAAGAGATACTGTAATATTTTTATGTACTGAATAAAATAAGTATCTAGAAATGCCTTAGAAAAATATTTAGAAAACTGTAATAAATATTTTCATTAAGCCTATTCTACAATGTGCTCTTTGTTTTGTGTTTCTTACTCTTTACTTCTTGCTTTGTTCCCTCTTTGCGATCTGTTTTATTGACAATAATATTTCTTGTCATGTATTTCTTGTTTCTTCCAAAGTTCGTTAATTTTTACCTTGGATGATAAAAAACAAAAAGTAGGATAAGAGACAAAAAGATAGGATGTAAAAAATAGTGAAAAATAAGAAACAGGAAACAAAATGCACAGTGTGAAAAACAGGCTTTAAGAATAAAAAAAAAACAATGTTTAATTCGATAAATAAAAATACCAAAAGCAAAAAGTGATGCAAATCTAGATTTCTAGAAATGACAAGAATTGATAATGGATAAGCAAGGTCAACGAGATAACCCAATAGGTCTGTTCATGTTGTTTGCACTTTGTGCATTCAGCATCTTCATTTTCTTTCATTCGAACATCCTAATATATATTTATCTCCTTTTAAGTGCAAAAATTTGGTGGCATTCGCGAACAATGCGAACGGACTTATTGATCATCCCAGATCATCCATTAAATAAAATATACACACATATATACGTAAGCAATAGAGTTTTATAACAAAATAAACGTGAATACAATTTACCTTTCATTTAATCTTTACTTGATAGCAACAGGCAAAAGCAATGGGAAGTTCCTAAAGGATGAAACGAGACGGGATAAAACAAGATAAGATGAGACGAAGTGAGTCAAGACGGTATAGAACGGAACAAAAAGGAATAGAATGGAACGGAACACATAACACGACGAAACGACACGAGAGAATACGAAAAATCGTTTGTGAAAAAACCAAGATGTGTCGATACGCGCACAAGACTTGCTTTGGCGAGGCACAACGTTGCATGAGAATATTATATCACGAGAATGTCACAACAAAAAGACACTGATGAACATGGCTGATGACGGGCGACTCTTCCGCTCCTACAGCACAGCATCCCCACTGCGGAATGTTAAACCGTAAAACTTTTCAGGATAACAGTTTTAGGTACAAATCACGGGAATATGTGGTATATAAATGTCGCTACGAAAAAGCACCGAACGTAGCTTTTTTTATAAAATGTATATTAAATCAAAGAAATACGTTACTAACAAATGGCAGCCATATTGGTACATACAAGCATCATACACAGGCCACTAACATAATTGATATAGACTACGTTTACACGGATCGATTTACGCCGAAGTTATAAAGCTCGTTCTACATTAGGGTGCGATTACATGTAACGCGGTCCGCGGTACAGAAACTAACTAATAGGACTATGTTCTACGTTCCAACCAAAACTTCTACGTTCTAAAATCTCTCCAAGAAAGATTTTAGTCTATATGCTATAGTCTATATGCTATAGTATACGTTATGCATACTATATTTCGAGTAAAATTTTTTTGGAATTTCTGGGTCCCTTCTTGAACACATATGAATAATTTTCGAAAATGATAGTTTCTCGACTGTAATTGGTCAATTCTATATGGAATCGCTATTTTTGGTATGCGATATTTGTTGAAAAATAGGCCTCTGTATTGCGTACCGCGCTACATGTAATCGCACCCTTAGGCCAGGTTCACACATTGACAGAAAAACAGAAAACGGAAAAACGGAAGCCAATCGGAACTCGCAGTAGTAGTAGGCAGTACATTTCGCTTGTCTGCTTCTATCTTTCTGCAAGTTCTGATTAGTTTCCGCTTTTTCGCTTTCCATTTCTCCGTCAAGATGTGAACCCGGCTTTAGACTACGATCAAAATCTCCCTACAAATGTTTTCAAGCGTTTGATTGATCAATTAGAAAAAAGAATTTTACAAATCGACCAATTAAAAATTGTTTTAAAGCATTTGTAGTATTGTGTTGACCGTACCCTTTAGACGTAAACTGGAGATCATTTCTGTATCTTCAAACGAGGTGAAAATTACAAAAGTGAGCAAATTTACTAGATGTTGACCAATGAAATTATTAACATTTTAGTAAATTCGCTCACTTTTGCATACTGCTGAACGCAGCTAAATTTTCGATCTTGACTCTTCTGTATCTTGAAACGAGATAAAATCTTTTTCTAGTGCATGAGACATATGCTATAATATAAGAGCACTTCGACGTCTCAAATTTGCATTACCGAATGCAGCTTTTGTTGCGACAGCCAATATGAAATGTTGATTTCAAAATACAAGCTTCAGATTAGCTGTCGCAATAAACTTGCATTCAGCTGGCAACTAATGTAGAACTTAAAGGACCGTCTACATAAAGCTAATTTTCACTTGACGATACAACACTCATTTTTAGCATCAAAACAGATCACGTAATCAATTTGACACTTGATATTCAACAATTTTGATCACGTGATGCTGTTTGATGCTGAAAATGGCGTCATAGCGTTAAGTTAAAACTAACTCGCAAACGCAGAACGCAATTCACAAATACATTTGCGATAGCAATGAAAGCTGTTATTTGTACTATTGATGTTTCTGATTGGCGTTTGCGACTTATGTAAACAGTCTTCAATGTACAACGAGAATACTTAATATTGGCTTAGTTTCCATCGAAGATTTAAACCGAATCAGAATGTAAAAACCAACCAACAGTCGAGTATTCCCCTGTTACAGTCGAATACTAGTGTGCCAGGCTCATTAACCCGGATCCTACAATAGCGCTTTGACACAGAGCGCTGATTCAAAAAGTCGATTGTAGGAATAAAATTTATCCACGTCCATTTTTTACCAATCAGTGTTCGATCAGTGTTAGACTATTGCTTATACACTATTGCTTATATGAGGATCCGGACTAATGGCTCCGACATACCAGCGTATACCAGAGTATATCTTTAGAATGAAAACATTGGTAAAACTGTACACTCATTAGATATCGCGTGTCGCACGCGACAAACATCATACTGGTGCCAGAAGCATAGAACGCATAATAAAAGGAAACAGAGACCAGAAAAATTTCAATCTATCAGAAATTGTGTATTCCACAATACATGATTTCTGAGATTGAAATTCTTCTCTGTTTCCTGTTCCTATCATTGTGCGGAATCCCTTACGGAATCGCGCCTCTGAACTCTATCTCTTCTTGAAATAAAATGTATATGTCTAGAGAAATACATACTACAATATACATTACTATAGTATTACATTACTATAGTATTATCCTTTAAATTAAAATTAAAATGCTAATTGTAATTTTATAGACTGCGTAAGATGACTCAGTACTGTGTATGCCGGGAAGATTATATTCCTCTGTTTTCACGACAATTTCACAGGTAAGACTTTAATTTATAAGCTAAAATTTATAAGCCTTTATTATGTATACAAATACTTTAGTTTATGATATTAATGCAATATATTTTTAGATTCCCAGGAAATATAGAAAGACGAGAAAAATGATTTTATAGCATTGGTACTATCAATGCTTATGAGAAAAAAAGAATTTGCAGTAATCATTTCACAGAAGATGATTATTATATTTGTGATACTTTCAAAATCCTTCAAGAAAATTGAAGAAAACTGCAATTCCATTTGTTTTTACACAAACGTAATAATATTAAGTAAATATAGTACTAAGATATTGTATGATATTTAATAAATACATCCGATTTAAAAAATGTTTTTTATACAACAGATCAGACGATAATATGAAAAAGTATTCAAAAGTGAAATGCAACATAATAAAAATGATTCAGTCATGGACATCAAACTTCAATGAACATTCAACACGAATCTTCAATAGATGTTCAACATGATATGTATTAAATCAACATTTGATATCAGCCAAGGTACAAAATAAATATACACGTACATTCTAATTTATTCTGGCTTGCGAATATTATAAATATATGTTTCAGAAAATAATCAAACAAAATGGAAAAGATGTTTATAAAAACTGGAAAATATACTATAGAATGTCTTAAAAAAACTGAGTTCGTTATGAACCGATCATGAATGAAATTTGCAAAAAGGCCTTAATTTTGCAGCAAACTGAAATATATTTATATATAATAAAGTGTATAAAATATAACCATACTTCTATATTCATAATCTTACTTGTAAAGTTACTGGAATAAATAACATGTTACTGGAATAAATAACATGTTACTGGAATAAATAACATGCCTCTTCTTTGCACAGGCAGCAGTTAACCATTCTATGCAAAATATAAAATTATAATTTTAGTCACATCTGTGTATATAATAATTAGAGATAATTAACATTTTGATTTAAAAATATCTTATATTTTACAAAGAATACGTACCTTTTTAAGTCTAACATCTAACCGGGCCACGGCATGCATCCTACTTCGTCTTCTTCTTCCAAATTATAAATGACCTCGCTGGTGAGAGTCACAACGATTTCGGCCAGTAAATTACTTCAAGTTCATTACTTGTATGTACAACAAGCTTGTAATTGAGGTTATGTTATACTGTTGTTATTTTCCTCCATCTCTTTCGATCCTCTCTCTCTAGTAGATGCATGCGCGAAACGAGAGAGAATGCAAAAATCAAAAGCAGTACATCCTTTTTTGAGAACGTACTCCTTGAATTTCTGACAATATTCAGTCTAGTAATACTAAGGCATTATAAACATGAGTATTTGCATATCCATCATTTTCACTCCTTTCCCACTCCGCCGCTGAGCTGAGAAGATTATATTCGTTACGGTTATATAGGTTATAAGCTGTTAAGCTGTTAAAAACCTTATAATTTCGTATTTATGTATTTTCGCATTTCGAAATTTTACCATAAGACTAAGAGACGAAAAGAAGGATGTAAAAAAATTGAAATATTATATATTAACGAAGGCAAAAAAATTTATAAAATGACTTGTTGCGATAAACTGTATCAATAGATCAGAAAAAGGTATTCGATTATTTAAATTTTCTGCGAATAATATTCGTCGATAACTTGCTGTATTGTTGTAAAATAAATACATGACTTGTGAATAAACATGACTACATTTCCTCGCAGACGAAAAATTTCAATCCTTTTCTTCAAATTGATACACATATTTGGCATCTTATCTAGAAATAACCTGAACGCCAGACATTCTTCAAGTCTTGCATTAATATTAGATATTCAATTGATTTTGAGAGCAAAAATGGAATGAAAAGAGCTACAAAATTTCAAGCAGCAAATATACAAATCATAACCTGTAATGACTATAACTCAGTGTCAGCTCAATGATGGAATGGGGACAGAGCAAGGAAAAGGAATAAAAATGGTAGATGCAAATACCTATGTTTCTAGTGCTCTAGTAATATTATGTCTATGAATGGAACATAAGGTGCTGCACACATACACTAGTATATGTACTGCACTAGTGTTGTGTGTATGTATATATACGTATATGTACACATATCATTTGCGAAAGTGAGCGGAAAAATAGCGGAACCAATCAAAGAGGAGAACGCTCCACTCTCCCTTGATTCTCTTTGGTTACTATTATAAACCGGTCCTTAGGAATAAGGAATAATTTTCTTTCGATTTAAACTTATCAGAAACTGTGTGTTCCGGTGTATCCGATTTCTGAAATTCCTTATTTCTTTTATTGTATTTGCACCCTTACGAGAAGGTCGCCGCGTCGTCTCTCAGGTTTCTCTCTATGGTCAATATAAATGATCCTTTATCATTGAAGAAATCGTGTTATTCTAGCTTTACATACATAGTTAGAGGATGTTATGCACGCTTGATTATATCAACACACGCGCGCGCGCGCGCGCGCGTGCATGCGTGCGTGCGACTGTGCGTGCATGCAGGCGTGCGCGCGTGCGTACGTGCGTGCATATGTGATATTGATGAATGAATCCTGTTGCGCAGTCCGGCGACTTTATCTTACAGTAGTCAATAAGTGTTCCATGAGCATTGTATCGTCGGTTCTGTTGAACGAGCATATTTTGCATAAAATATTCGCGATTTGCGGATTCGCTGTCACATCAGTTCACAATCAGTTTCAGTAGCATTCGCGAAGCATGTGATCAGTCAGATTCAATCGTATCGTATAATAGTGATCGGAGTTTAGCTGTGAACACATTTCTCGCGAGGGGAGATGCACTGAAATAGTAAGTGTTGTGATAATAGTGTCTTTGGAAAGTCGCAGTTTTTTTCAAGCGAGAAAGATCT